ATTATAATGCTTCAAAGCGTTTATTATTCATTTGCAATTAAGAAGCAATTTAAATGCTTTTAATTGAATGCAAATAACGGGAGAATACAACGAATGCCACAAAGCCAAATAAGTTAAATGCATTTGCATCACATTAATGATTTATATTGGCTTTGTATTTATTGTTGTTGATTTAACTTGTTGTTTTCAGTTGGACTAAATAGCAAGTCTCGGATAGGCATCATATTTGCTTTTCCAAATATTCTCTGATAACAGTTAAGCAAATATTCTTTGGCCAAGAAGAGGTTGTGGCATTGCCAATTGGCCAGTCACACCAGAAACAGAAACGGATACAGAACCAAACCGAGACCCAGACTCAATCAATTAGATGAGTCAATTGTATTATTTATTGCAAGGTGATACCCGAAGCAACAAACAACATCAAAAGCAAAAGCAACAGCAAAATCCAATGAAACTATGCAAATATTTAATATTTGAACAGCTCTTGGGACAAGCATTTGCCGCTTTTGATAGAACATTTTATTAGATTGCAACGAAGTTGCTTGCTTTTGTCTTAAATATTAAATTAAAAAAATCGTTGAGAGGTAGAAGGTTAATTTGCAAACTTGATATGAGCATGATTGCAAAAACTTGGGGAAAGAGATAAGCTAGAAAAATAGAAGAAACTAACCGGGTAAAAGAGACTAACTCAGAAGAAATAAATTAAGTAGAAGAAACTAAATTGGAAGCAGAATCTTAATTAGTAGATTAAACAAACTTTAGAGTATTAATTAACTTTGTAGAAGAAAAAATAAATTGGCAGAAGAAATTAACTCCGTAGAGTAAAATATCTTAATAATAATAATCGAACCGACTTGGTGGAAGAATCGATTTCCAACTTATTAATGGTAGATTTTGATCTATTGTGTCGTCCCTCTCTTTAAGTGAACTCTAGATCTGGGTCCATTTACAGGAAAGTAATAATAGCTCCTGGTCTTTGAACTCTCAACTATCAAGAGCTTCAACTACGCTTTCTGAAAATCAGATATCAGCCAAGGTAACTCCAGCTTAGGTGCTATGTTCTTTATGAAGTAATCAACAAGTTCATAAAACAGCTGATCTAATAGTTCTACACACGATTGGTTAACACAAAAACTAAACGATTGGCAAGAAATTGACTCCCCCATGAGACTGTTGACTTAACTATGACCTGTGACCCTGACTGTGTGCCTATGTGTGTGTGGGTCTGTGTGTATTTCTGTGTGTGTGTGTTATAGGTACATTGCATTAGACTGGCAGTGTTTGGCTTAGGCACCTCTGCAAATGACTCACCCTAAAAAAAGACACCAAAAACAGAAACATAAACAGAAACACGCCCACAGTGCTCGTCACGAAGCAACCACCAACGGACTTGGACCTCGAGACTCCTCGTCGCTGCAGGAGACGCATTTGCATGTACAACAACAATGAGAACAACAACAACAGCAACAAAATGAGTCATTGTCAAGTTGTCAGGCAGAGTCTCGATAAGAATCAGACGAACTCCGCGACGCGTTGCGTTAATTAAAGCGGCAAATGCTAAAAAGAGGGAGAGGGATGGGAGAGAAATTGGGAGTTGGGGTAGGGGGCATAATGTTGGGGACATAGCCAGAAATCTCTCCAACCAAGGAGGCGAGTAGGGGAAGCGCGCCCAAGTTTTGTTTTCTTTAATTTCACTCATTGTTTTTCCAACGGCCGCAGCAGCTGCGTGTTGAAGTGGAAAATGATCAGCCAGGGGAAATCGAAGAGGGGGGAATTCTGAGAAATATGGGGAATACACCATAAGACTGCTTTTTTTTATGACTAACTTGCCTTTGGTCTCCCAGCGCAGCTTAAGAAAAATATTTATTTTATTTGCTCTTTGGCTCACAGTGCGCGTTATAATTAAGTGCGCGCCAAGGAGGTTAATTGCTATTGATTGTGTGAACAAATTTATTGTTGCGCCTAACTCCCCCCTCAACACCAACCTCAAGAGAAATGCTTAATAACCACTCCGTATTCCATTCGAATTGAGTGGTGCACATTTTTAAGTGGCTGGCGAGTGAGCGGAGCCGGATCCTCTCCTCCATTAGAAGGTTCCCACGAGGGCACCTCTCTAACGGCCGGAGCACTTCAATCTGATTCATCTTTGCCTGAAATCCAAATATTTTTTTACATAATTTCTAAAAACACAGCACAGATTGGAACACTCAGTCCAAATTGGAAATGCATATTTTTACTGTTGCCGTCTAATTGTTTGAGATAATATTGAGATTTTTTTACTTAGCCAAAAGTGTAGTCTGAGGAGGAACAGTGAAAAAGAAATGGCAATGTAACGAGGTAGTTTCCCTTATCAATGAGATTTATTTTTGTGAAATGATTTGAAACTGATCAAACTTACTTTTTTACTAATCTCATCAATCTAAACACAAAACAAGCCCGGTTTTAATTCACTTTATAGATAAGACTTCTCATATTTAAAATTATGGCATGAGCTTAAAAAGAAAACAACTTAATATATTTTGAATAGGAAAAAAGGTACTTTCATAATAATGGTTGTATTTATGTTCAGCTACTATATCACTCGAAGATGAAATCTGAACAATCTAAACAGAAAACAAGCCCAGTTTTAATTCAATTTATGATTGCATTCTCATCACGCACTTCGCTTGACTTCATTCAGCTTGGGTATAAAATAAAACAATTTGCGCAATTGGTTGGCACGCGAAGCAATATATAGCTACAACAGATCTATAAATGGAATATCGTATATATATAATACAGACAACTGCTCAGCTTGGAATAATGAGTAGTTTAATACGTCGTCTGACTGAGCTGCCTACAACTACAAACTACAAACTAATCACGTTAAATAATAATAGTAAATTACTATGACGTTAAATGACAAAATGGTAGGACTTAAATAAGTTGAACAAAGCCGTTTGCTTGAAATCTACTGGTAATTTACGACAATTGGCCTCGATGTGACAAATATCTGGTTATTGTTATTTTTATCGATTGACTGGAAAAGTGAATGTCTCATGGAAATAACCCAATTGCATTTTGGTTATGACAGATCTAGATTACATTACAAAAAATCAGATTAGAATCATTACATTGGTTAATATGAGGTTTGGGCTAGCTGAGGCAATCTAATTAGAACTTACCAAGAAGTGACAGTAATTAAAGTATGTAAACATTTGACAAGAGCATAAAAAAGTTTACCAATCAATAACAATGACAATAAAATAAACGTTATGTTAATTTAAAGAGTGGTATTCGTAGTAGTAGTTGTAGCATCACCACATTATTGTAGCCAACCGGAAATTTTGCTGTGCAAACTGAAAGATACACACAGATACAGATATGGTTATAGCTATGAGAACAAGGAAGACATCGATAAGTTAGCTGAATCTACATATGAACCAGTTCTGCGAGTCACAAAATGAACAAGAGACAAAGAGCATCGTAAGAACTACACATAAAACACAGACTAGCCTTGCATATTAAGCAAATATATATATATATATACATATCTAAACTGAACAAAAGCAAAAGTTAATTTGCATAGGCGGTTAGTTTGACAGACACAGACAGACAGATAGAGAGTCAGACAAGAGACACTCTTTCCGCATTGTGCAAAAAGATACTTAGAAAATAGTTGCTATTCATTTGTAATTTTAATTGATTGCAAAATGGCCGAATCTACAAATGTGAATTGTGCGTGGAATATCATTTATCAAAGCGTGCGATATCGATAAAAAAAAAATAAAAGAAAACTGAGAGAAAAACTGTTGACGAGTGAGAAAAAAAAAGCATTTTCCGCTAATTGGATGCCAAATGCGATTTTACACAGAGAGAGAGAGAGAGAGAGAAAGAGAGAGAGAGAGAGAGAGATAGAGAAGGCAAAAGCTTGGAAAATATCTTAGCTTGGAGGGGGTAGGAAGGGGCTTGCAGGGAGCAGGGGGTATGATTAAATACCTCTACGCTTCAAGAAAATCAATATTGTTTAACAATCGCGGCACGCAAATCAAAAATACCGACAACAACAGGAAAAGCAGGCAAAGCAAATGCGAATCAAATGCCAGCATGTTGCCAAGGGGCAACTTAAAAAGATTGAGTATGAAGGGTGGTATGTGTGTGGGTGTGTTTGTGGAAGTGTGCACACTAATTACCTAGTGCTAAACATTTTGACGCGCATTTCTCGGTTTACAGACTAACCGTAATGTCTGGTATTAATGTCTATATATAAATATTCTTCTCGTTGCTGGTGTTGTTGTGTGTGGCACGTTTTTGCTGCACATGTCCACACATCAAGCGAGCCGGATACAAACAACAAATCGTTGCCATTAATCAAGACAAGTGTGAATTGATCTACGTAAATACAGCATAAATACTCAAGCATAAATACTGTAGCAAATTTATGCACAAGACTCAGCGAATCCCTCTCTCTAAATTCACACAAAGCTTAACACAAATGCCCTTTGATTGCCTGCTAATTTAAAACTTCTTAGACATATGCAGTGCAATTAGAAAAGGCAACTTTGTTAGTTTAATTGCAGCTTAGCAAATACGTGCCTTAAAATGGGCAATTATTTTAGGCCCGGTTGCAAATTACGCACTAATTTTTTTTTTAATTATCATAGCTGCGGTGTGGGTTAATTGAACGTTTGAGCGAAACTCCATTCATAGTTCATAGTTCCGTTTGGTATCTATCATTTAATTAGCCCATTCTAAGCCATATGCACTATGACTGGGTAACAAATGCGCCAATTAAATTGTTTGCCAATATATATATATATATATAAGCCGACACGAGCCCAACAAAACAACGCCCAAAAGTCAGGGTCAATTATGTTCAACGCCGCCTATACGTAACTGGCGTATTTCATTGTATACTCTCAGAATCGTGTTTACTTATTTAATTTTTTAAATTTTATTTTAAATTTTGAAACTGATTTGACTGACATTTAATATTGGATTTTCTATTTAATATATTGCAGTGTGGCACAACTGGTGGAAATTGCAAACTCTGTGGTAAGTTAAATATGTGTTGATTATTTGTTCTAAATTGCGTGTAAATATTTTTGGCCAGCCAATTCATAAATATATCATATTAAATATGTCAAACAGCCAATTAAATATGCCAAATCAATTTGAAAAGCACTCCGGATAGAGCAATAGAGGTCAATGGAGAACCGATGATTAATTACAGCGGCTAATTCAATTATCGGTTGGCGAAGCCATTAGAAAGCTAACATATAAAAAAGAAGAAAAATTCCCAAAATGATGTGGCAAAAATTTTGCTTTTCTTTTACAATCTCTGCAAAGGCAAATATAAATAAAAAGTTGCCTGTTCTTCTTATCTATGGCTTGATAAATGTTTGTTAGCCAAATAGCTTATGGCAAAAAAAGATTTCCTGTGTTTGCAGCACAAATTCCGCAGATAAGCACAAGTTGTTCTTGGCCAAGAGTAAAGATTTTTACCTATTTATTCTGACCTCTAAGTTCTCGCTAGAGAGATCTAACCAAAGATACGCGTGTGGCTAGCCATTTCAATAGTTGATAGCCAAACTTGGCATATGGCTAAAACAAAAATAGCTGTCTGAGCTTCCGTTTCCCCGGGATTGGGATTGGGGCTGGGCCTCTGGTTGTTTACAATGTGTCTTGGGGGATTTAGTGGGAGGGATGTGAAGGGGCGACAGCGCGTGGCAATCCACGTGTGTTGTCTCTGTGGTGTGTGACAGACACACACTCACATAGCTGGTGGGTGGAGCTGGAGCTTCGGATATTCATGAGAGACACACGGTAATGGCCCAGGCAAATAAATAATAAATTAAAAGTAAATGCCAAATACCAAACACCAAATACCAAACTTAGAACATGACATGCCTACAAATGATTTATAAAGTCCAAAAGTAAGCTGAATTCAAATTTCAGCAATCTTGAATCGAAAACATACATAAGTGATTGAGATATTCTTCGAAACAGTAGTAAATTGATTGATAAAGTGCGAAAATGTACTATTCTTAAAAAATTGTGGGTCTCTCATAATTAAAATTCTATGTATACGTATATATTTATATACGTATCATTTTAAACGTTATAAATTTTCTGCAAGGATAGATTACTAATTGGTATTAATATTATTGTACATATTTAAATATTTCATATAGTTAATCATTTCAGCCTGCCTACATGTGATTGATAAAGACCCAAAGTAAACAAAATTGAACGTTCAGCAAAGACAGATTGAAGATTGAGAGATTCTCATAATTATAACCCTTAATACACTGATGTATATATTACAGTACTTTAATACCTATTTAAGATACAAATTACAGTCTATCATTTTCAAAATTTATCAAAACTTAATAGAGATTAATTTATCTAGTTATATTTATATTTATCTTTTTCTTTTTTTTTTGTTGAGCCATCCTAGAGAAGTGTTCTCTAATTTCTCTTTTTTATTCTGCGCATTATCAAAGCCAAATTGTAAAAACTTTATGCTTGGTAAAATTACAATTACAATTATGACTTAGACTGTGTACCAGGTTGTCATTACACAATTTCACAGCATACAAGAAACAGAAAACAACAACAACAATCACAATTTCGACACACAAGAAACAACAATAAAAATCATTAAAATGCAATATAAACAGAGAAGCAGTAAAGGAGAGACAAGCCTGAGAGTAGAGAGCGGAGAAGCAGAAACAGAGAAACAGCGACAGAGACCTCCACATCATCAACATCATCATCATCATCGACGTTGGCAGCTTCATTGTTTGGCCCACATTTACAATTTGCACAAGATACAGATACAATTGTATCTCAGTGCTAAAAAAAGCTTTGTGGGTCGCTAACCTTAACCCAAACTGCATATAGAAACTGAAAACTGAACAGAAAACTGTTAACTTTTAACTGCATACTAAAACTGAAAACGAGACTGAGATTGAGACTCAGATTGAGTTTAAGCTTTAGTTTCGGTTCATAAACCGTATTGAGGTCACTTGTCTATTATTATTATGTGCGGAAAATGCTACTCTGGAAAATGCTGTCAAGTCACCATTAACGCTTTTCACTGCGTTGATTTCGATGATGCTACAATTAATACATCTGCATGACTACAGATAAAAAAAGAAAGAAAAAAGAAAAACATGTCAGCTGACAGCGATAGTAACTACTGTAGGTAACAAGTATATCTACAAGTTCTGGAAAATTTGTCTGTTGTCTGCTCAAAAATCAATAGCTGACAACGCTTTTTGTTGTTGCCTCATCCAAAATGGAAAGGAAGCCTTATGGCATGTGCCATTCTCCAAGTCCCCAAGTCCCTAATGTCCACAAGCCCACAAGTAGCAAGTCCCAAGTCGCAGTCTCACTTCCACTGGCAGTAACAATCCTAAGTTCTGTGCCACGGTTCGTTTAGCACAGTGTCACAAAACGTAATTGACAAAGTCAAATTGCTGTAAAGGTTATTTTCAGCAAGCAAACATAATTCGAAATTGCTTAAGTAATGCATGAGAATAATTTGCAAACAGTTTATTTTTAGAATGCTGACAATTTGTTTAAGTCCTTAACAATTTGTGACTTTTGTGCTAAATAAGGTTTTAATTATGCAGATGTGTAAAGTGGAGAAGGGTCGTGAACTCTAATTTGTGCCTTTAACTCTCTACTCTTTCAGTGTAAGGGCTTTGATAAATATTAGTTCAAGCTATTAGAGTTCAAATTTATAGCATTAAGCTCTTAAAATCCTTAGTAAAATTTTTTTTTTTGAGTTCAAGCTTATAACCTTAAGTTCTTTAAATCTTTAGGTGTCCTAGTTGACCAGAACCAAAGTGTAATTTAATATGAGTTCTCTCTACTATTTTCTTCAACTTGTTCAAAATGTTTAATGTATAGATTTAATACATATTACCTGAAGATATTGCAGCTAAAGATTATCATAGTTGACCTGAGCAAAATTGTAATTTAATATTTCTTCTCTCAACTATTTTTGTGAACTTTGTTCACTTGCAACTTGAAGCAAACTTGATACCACACAACAGCCACAACATATGACGTACCTCCCCCCTCCCACTATGTCCCCATCACCCTGACAACAGTGGATTTTCTCAAAGTTTTTCACCCACATGGCATGCAAGGTCTTAAAAGTCTTTGCAAGCAGCTGCATTCGGTGTCAGAAAATTGTCTGTTAGCCCTACTTATATTTTTAAGTAGTCTTTTTCTTCTTCTTCGCAGTCTGCTTCTTCTTCGTCTTATTCTTCTTGGGGATCTATATGGGGATATATTTTCGTACCCGTTTCGAATGTCACTTACCGTCACAGGTTGTCAAGTGAAAGCATTTCTATTTTCTATGCACTTTTTAGTGGCAGCAGATGGCGGACTATTTTTTCTTTTAGCCAGAAGCCAAAATTGACTAAACTAAACAGCTAGCGGGGCTAACCCAGCCCCCCCTGCCCCCCTCCACCCCCTTCCCCCACTCAATGGCCAAAGCAAAGCCATGCCGCCGTATAAATGTAAACGTAAACAATTATAGCAACCAAATAGCGGAAATCACGTTTTTTACAATTTTTCTTTACCCGTTGTTCGAGTGGCCAATAAAGGTGACTCTGCGGCCTGGGAATGGGAAATGGAAAATACTTGTGTGGAAATGGAGAAGGGGGAAGGGAGAGTGGGGCGGGTGCAGCTGCTGCGCTTCCGACTCCCAGCCAAAACGGGTTGTGGGTGGAAGGTGTGCGCAGATTTATGACGTCGTTGACTGGCGCTGGCCAACACATGTTTTACCATTTGCCCGTAGCCCCCATCCCGCCACTCCCCTTCTCTCCCTTAGTCAGCCCCCTTAAAAATGTGTTTCTTGCAGCTACGGAAAGGTACATAAAAAGAAGTCAAGTATGAAGATGTTGAGTGACTAACGTCTACCCTCTAAACAGTGCAGGTTAAAACTGGTGGCACATAATTTTTTTGACTAAATGAATCTTGCAATCGGAAGAAGAAAGAAAAATCTGCTATTATTTTCATAATTTCTCTATCTAATTCTATCTTTCCTTCGTGCCTAGGCAAACGCCCCAGCATAATAATAATAATAATATTTCCAATTAACTAAACTCCGTTAAAGTTAAGGATCTACCTAAGAGATATACTACAGAGATAATAAAGTAACTCAACTTTCAATTTATAACGAAATTACAACTCTAGTTCATTCTCAGTTTACAGGGTATATTCAAAGCGATGCGCAATGAGGCACAAATATAACTCAAAAAGTATAAGTTGTTTTAGTGCGTGTTATGTTTTTGTTGCTTGTTGTTTGTTGTTTTGTTATTGTTGTTGCAGTTGTGAACGTGACTATTGTGAACGTGATTTTCATTTAGTTGATCTGATCGGAGTGTTAATATTTTTATGGGCTTGTCTGCTTTACAATATAATCTAGCTAGGCTACCGGTTGTTGACCACGTCGAAAGTATTACAATCAATATTAGTTTCTATTGTCTTGTCTGCATTTCTTAAGAAGTTTTCACAAAGTTTAGCTCGCTCTGTTTGCTTTTTATGGGTTTGCTGCTACGCTTTTATTAACTTAACACCAAAGACAACAACGGGCCAAGAGTCCAGTTGTGTGTGCGGCTTATAAACTAGAATCGTCAGCCAACCACGTACAATAAATATTTATGTGCCGCATGATTGCGAATATTTCAACAAAAGTTGAACTCTTCTAGCAGCAACCAAAAACTTACACAATTCAAGTGTGTTCGAGTCTTAGAGTTGATAGGTGTTTACCAGCCAATCGACATTTATTACCCAGCCAACAATTGATTTTCTTCTATACCCTGAATACATTCAAAATATGAAAAAGGATAAATTGAAGTTGTGCCAAAGTATATGACAGGCGGAGGGAAGCGTCTACGACCCCATATAGCATTCCAATTCATAAAGAATATACTCAGACATATTAATAATCAACTGAACAAATTTCATTAAGATCGCATAAGAAACACAGATTTCCTATTTAAGTATTTAACAGTTCAATTCAGGGAATCTAC